CCTCCCGCTCCAGTGCCGCGCGCAGCCGCGCGTTCTCCTTGGCCAGGCCCTGCTGCTGCGCCCCCGCTGCAGCTGCCTGGCCCTCGCTCCTCTGCAGCAGCGCCCGCAGCTCATCCTTGTGTGTCTGGGGCAGAGGGAGGGGACTGTGAGAGAGGTGGGAGCAGCAGAGCACCACCGGGACACAACACCAGGACGCCAGGCACCCACCTGCAGCTCCGCCTGCATGAGCCGGATCTCCTGGTTTTCCTTGGCCAGCTTGTCCAGGAGTTGGTTCATGGACTGCATGCTTTGGGGGTCCCCAGCATCTGGCAGAGGCGGCTTCTGCTGTGAGTCCTGGGGGACAGGAAGTTTGGGAGGCCTGGGGGCGCTTGGGACGTCCCCTGCCCTGACTCAGTCCTGCTCAGGACCCCTCCTTACATTGCTGTCAGTGGACAGCAGCGACTCCTGCTCTCCAGCAGCCAAGTCCCAGCTCCCCACGCTTTCCACAGGGCCTGTGGAGGAGGATGTGGGTCCAAGTGTCCAGGCTGCTGTGGGATGTCCCCCTGCCCAGGTGGGACAGTCCCACATACTCACCATCCACTGGGTCGTAGATGCCACCTGGGGAGAGAAGGGGACAACGAGGGGGATGTCTGGACCCCACACTGTCCCTGGGGCCTCAGCCACCAGGATCCCCACTCACCAGTGATGATCAGCACCCCCACAGCCACCAGTGCCAAGATGCCCAGCAGGTACTTGCTCATGCTGAGCCCATCCTCGTCACCAGTGTCCGGTGTCCTCCGGTGCGGGGCGCGCGGGGCAGTAGGGGGTCCAGGACGGGGCTTGTGGCCCTGCCGCCGCCGCAGCCCCTCTGTGTCATTGTCACTGCTGGTGCAGCTCCCATCCTCTGTCTGTGGCCCTGATGGGGGACGGGGAGACCTCCAGGGAGGGTCTGCCTCTGAGCACTGCCCTGCGAGGTCCTGGCCCGCTCTAGGGATGCCAGGGCAGGACTGTGGCTCAGCCTCAGCATCAGGCTCCTCCTGCTCATCACCCTCAGTCACACTGGGCTCTGTGGAGCCATCTGGGGCAGGCACTGCCCATGCCCCGGGCTCCGTGCACTCCTCTGGGTCCTGCAGGCACAGGTGCTGGTGTGTGGGGTGTCCCCGTGGGGGGAGCAGCCCCCCAGGCCCCCCGTCCTGGCTCACACTCCGCCCACTGACCTCGGGGGGTAGGGTCTGGCCAGGGAAGGTGGTGGCACCATTGGTGGTCATGGCTGGGGAGAGATAGAGCATGGGGGTGAGACGGTGGCACAGGGGGTGACACCAGGCCTGCCCCATCCCCATGGTGTCTGCCTGCCTGTGGCTGTATCCTGGGTGCCTTCATCCTCCTCCTCCTCCTGCAGTTCCTCATCCTTAGTCCTGTGGGAATCCTGCTCTGGACCCACTGTGTCGATGGGCAGACCCTGGGGGAAGGGGGGAGACGCAGGGTGACGCCTTCAGCTGCAACTTCTGTGTGCCCCACTCTGCCCACAGCCCTGGGCAGGCTGTGACAGTCTGCCCAGGGGGTCCCAAGAAGTGGGGTGCTGTCCCAGGGGACCCCAAGCATCCGGGGCTGCCCTGGGGTCTCCAGCCCCGAGGGTCTGCCCCGGGATTCCCAGCCCTAGGGCGCTGCCCCAGGCGTCCCCAGGCATGGGGCTGCCAGGGATGTTGCCCTGGAGATCCCTAGCAGCGGGGTCGGCCCTGGGAGTCCCCAGCCCTCACCTCGCTGCCCGCCAGCACCCAGCTGCTCTCTGAGTCTCGGGAGTCCGATTTCTCCGCCATGAGGACAGCCCGGAGCCACCTGCAAGGACACGGATGGACAGCGGGACGTGACCCGGCTGCTCACAGTACCCCCGGGATGTGACCGGGAGAGCCGCGGTCCTGGTGCAAGCCAGTCTCCCAAGCGATGCCTGTGGCCGGGGACCCTCCGGAGCTTTCAGGGAGCCATCCCGGAGCACGGGCCCCGCCGCGCCACCCCCCCGACCCCAGCGGCCGCCGCGGGGTATTTTTAGTCGGTGACGCC